ATCACCACCAGAAGAAACCAGCAACAACGCGAAGACTAGACCAGGAGCGGGAAGCCCGTTATATGGTCCTTAGACAAACACATATTCAATGCAATATTACTTACCATTACACTGGCAGCTGAGGTTGAAGAGTGGCACCGTAGGTATTTCTTTAGAAAGGCTCGGGCTCCAATCCAATTACTTCTTCTGATATGTCGTCAATATGTCTGCCCGTACAGCCTGTCAGGCTGGCTGCACTGGCTGCATTTGAGGGTTGTTGCCAAAGGATTGCCAGTACAAGAAGGCAGCAGCATCAAATCCTACCTGGAAAGCCAGTGTTCTGTACTTAGGGGCTACTTTGAGCCAATTATGGGCTACTTTAGGGTATGGTAGTCTGTTATTTTGGGCTACTTGGCTTTTCAGGTAAACCTAAACCAAAGAAACCTCAGAACGGATCCCGCAAGCGCACTCTTGGCTCCTCGTCTTGACGGAAGAGGCCCTCTACCAAGTTACGATGTATCCTATCTAAATGTGTAAATAAATGAACCTTGGACCATTTTAGGCATTTTAGGGTGTTTTCCCTCTCGCAAGGATCTAAGTCCACTATAGCGAGGTTGAACAGAGTGCATTTTAGGGTTTAGGGCTGAGGGTCTTGAAAGACAAACTACTACCGGGCCAGGGTGCCGAGCTTTGTCCACGGCGCAGGGGCGATGCTGCAGCAAAGCTCCGCGCGAAGGAGGTGCGCAGGGGCCCCGGGAGTCGTGCGCAGGGCCACATCTCTCTAACAAGAGGGTTCATCCGCTTGGGCTTTCTTGTCGCCATGTATCCTAAACCACGAATCCTTCAACGCCTAAACCGGGTGTTGACGGAATGGGGCTGCGTCTCCTGAGGTTTCTATCGCTTTGGGGTGGGCTTGAGAAGTGGATATGGCTGGGCAACTCGAAGATGATGCTGGATGACTTGAACGTGGAAATATGTCCATAGGATTCCCGATGAGCTAGGACTCGGAAGGGCGATTGAAGCCGTCTTCCACGAAACCCCACACCCCAAATCCGCTTCACACACTCACCGCCCCGCCCAGTCAAACCCACATCAAGCAATGAGCAGATGCATGCTCCTCATGCACCACAGAAGAAGCATCAGAACGTAAGCCTCTGGAGGGTGACAACGAAGGCTACCACCGCTCGTCTGCTTCTTCCACCGCTGAGTGGAATATGATCAGCACCGCTTGCGCACCTACGTGTCCCTACATGCTGCACTGACGATGTTTCCGCTGGACTGGGTCAAGCACCTGAAGACCTAAAGCATAAATCGGCATAACTTTCCGGCACCCGAGCCCCTCTGCTTGAACGGCAGCCGACAACTCGTCGGAGGCTTTCGCAGCGAACGAACCTGGACACTAAACAGGAAACCGTCAAACCCTCAAGCCCGTAACAACGTAAACCCGTAAAATCTAAACCCGAAGCCCCTCCATCCTGCACAAGAACAACAGGGCCCCCGCGTCACTTTGCGCAGGCCGGCCAGATCCGCCTTGGCGCGTCCTTGCGGGGCTGTGTGGTGGAGCCATGCGCCACTTCAGAAGTCGAACATAGGGGCCGAAATGATTAGAGTACGGCTTGGTTTGGGGGTCCATCTATTATACTATACTTGTAGGAACTATTATACTCGAAAAGGGATAATGATCATCCGGATGCAACTACAAACCATCCCGATGCTTTTAAAGTTGAAGGCTAAGTGACCTACGGGCCCTAGGGGTTAGGGCTTCGGGTATTAGGGCTTTGGGTTTTGGGGCATTAGGGCTTTTTGGGGTAAGAACTGTCGGCATTGGCCTCCAAGCCCAAGCACCCCACAAAAGGCAATGCCCCAACCCCAAATTCCCAAAGCTCGATCAATCCAGGAAGCCAGGCTCGATTTCCAGAATCTTGGACGAAATGGTAACCGACATATGTGTTGCCTCCTGCATTGCTGAGAGGGTCCCTTGCATTTAGCTAACGTAATTCGTGCCATTCAGCTTGGACCCTCTTCAAAAAGAGCACGACAGCAGGACTCAAACAGCAAGCAAAATGCTTTTCCCCTCTCAAAACGTCTTCACCAAGTACATCAAGCACTTCGCACTGCTAGCAATTCCAACCTTGGGCACCAAATTACGAATAACCCATTAGCAAATTAGCTACCTGAGGCGTGCAGAATCAGGTAACCGAATTCTAGAGTCGATAAATCGATCGTTGCGTACTTGTTTAGCTATCGTTCTTCTGATTACTGTTCCGTATGGCAGCGTCATACCACGAATGTTACATACGGCCTGGCATCCAACCCTAGAAGAAAGAAATGAACTTATCAAGTGACAGTGGGGTACACATAGAGCTTTGAATGCACTCCTTCTGGTTATCCCACTTGTGACTCGTCTTAGAACCACCTTACTACATCCCCCAATACTTTAAGCAATTACAAAAAGAAAGGAACCTCACGCCCTAAACCCGCAACATCCAGCTCCTAAACCCAAAACTTGCCTAACCTCAGCACCCCAGAGCCCCAAACCCTGAACCTCTAAAGCCTCTGCACCTTAAGCCATGGACCCTAACAGAACGGAAGCCCGAACCCGCTCTAAAGCCTCTGAGGCCATGGACCTCCCCTAAACCCCAAAACCCTAAACCCCTAAATCCCACAACGATGCCTCCGAAGTTGCTACGGATCCGAGCCAGTTCGAAGGGAGCCTCAGCGCGCAGCAGGCATGAAAAGCCCATGACTTAAGAGATGTTTGTTTGGGTGTAAGGTTTGAGGTATGTCTTTTTGTTTAAGGGATTTGTATGTTCTAGGGCTTATAAGCAGCAAAATGATCAGGGTTAGGATGTGCCTTTTGGATACGGGGTTGGGGGTGAGGGTTTACGCTCTCGCAACTCGGACTCTGCCAGGCGAGGTCTCAGAGCGCATGTCGGACTAGCAGCGGCAGCCAGCATTGTAGCCACCGACAGAATTCAACCGCCCCAGTGATGTCATGCGACAGCCCCTATACAGTCTTTTCGGCGACTCAACAACAGTGCCATGAGAGCTTTACAGTTGGACTGTTGATGATCCAAATCGGACGCTTCAGACTCACTCGACGCTTCGTGCTTCAACTGTCGCAGGGCGTGGGAGTGAGGGTTTAGGGTTTAGGGTTTAGGGGTTTGGGGGGCCAAACCTGATAGGAGATTCGTTCCAGGGGTTTCGAGTGTAGCGTATTGCATAAGAGTTGACCCCAAACCCTAAACCCAAAATTTATCTTCTGTTAAGGGCCTCGGCCTTCATCTCCGTCCTCAGGGAAGGACCAATATTGCATGTGATAGTCAGGTAGGAGCTTTATCGATTGGAGCAGGGCTTGGGCATATTTCACAGTATGGCACATCGGGACCATAAGGGGACATTACTGCAAACGATTCCGACTTCTATGTTACGAGTGATTTTCATCATAGCTGGATCTGCAAACTATAGAGTCCCAAAGTACCACAGCAGATCCCTGCAAGTGCGGGCAACGCCGTGATTAATGTAGGGGCCTTAATAATTAGAATATGGTTTTGGGGGGTTCCTTACTATAATGATAGGATACCATACCCCCCCCAAACCCTATTCTAATCATTAAGGCCCCGATATTAATGTGTTCAAATGTGTTCGAGCTTCCCAATGCCTGTAGCAGCTCCAAAATACGCAAACAATCCGACTAGTGACCCAAAGAACCCTTGTAAGAAACCCCAGACAAGACCTGACACCATGGAACCCGCGACATGAAGTCGTAGAGTGTTAGAGTAGTGCGGCAGGTCTGGGCCAAAGGCCGGCTTGGGAACCGCGTCGGTGTTGCCACCTGGAAGAGCAACAGGGGGGCGGGGGGAGGGGGGGGGATGTAGGGTTTGGGAAGTTTGGGTTTTTAGGGTTTCGGGGGCCGAACCCAGGGTGCGAAGCTCATGGCGTATGGTAGTATGGGGCCTGTAAGGTTCGTTTCAGGGGTCCTAGAAGGGCCCGTGACTCCGAAATCCCCAAATCCCCCCTGCCCTTTTCAAGAGCGAGGGCATATGCCTGGAAGTCCGACTCAACCCTACTCCCTATAACCACCCCCCCCAACCTGAAACCGCAGGTAATCATTAAACTGAGGCCCTGAACCCTAGACCCTAAACCCCCAACCTGAAACCCCGGCGCTCTGACCTGAATATTAGAACAATGGTGGTTCCTGCTCCCCAGCACCGATGTAACATGCGGAGCCCAGCTGCCATGAAGGCATGAGAACGTCCTGGGCTCAAATTGTAAACTGGACAGCTTGAAGCTACCAGCCACGGTAAAACCGGACGAAGTTCAGCTTCGAACACTTTTGACGATACTGGCCCGAGAACCCCGCTGCACTGAATCGCGCTTTTTTCCATTGACTTGTCAGTTTCTGTCGTAACCCACACGAGCCCAAGTATTCAAGCAATCAGAAGATGTAACCCACGGGCCCAAGTATTCAAGCAACCAGAAGGCAGAAGCAAACAAATGCTCCTGCAACGACAGCTGCTGGCTAGCAGATGGAGACTTAAAGATCTTAAAGCGACAAATCAAGGTCCCTGGGTCCCTGAGCACTTGGACGCCGTAAGGCCGTGAAGTACTTGAAGGATCAGTTGACTTAGTAGGCATAAAAGGCACGATTTTACGTACCTTTGCTGGATCCTGCTAAGGACTCTATGTCTAGCCCCCTCTCACTAAGTCCCATGATCCTCTATGTAGTGGCAGCAGCTTTATAGGCCCTGGATCTCCACCGTGCCCGTTGTCTCTGGTATATTTTCTGGTATTATAATCTAGTATGGTAACCCGGTACTGAAGTGCACGCCCGGTATGAAGCACAAGCACGGTGTTTCAACCAGAAATGCTTCTTTATAAGCCAAAGGCCACAACATGTAGTAACCGCAAGTTTGAGGTGCAGAGGAAGGAGCACCGTCCGCACAAAGTGACGCCAGTTGGGGCGCCCGTGTACAGAGTGCTCCACTAAACCGACTGCTGCTTAGCAGCGTTGCTTAGCATCAGCACTTGTCTCTCGGCATAAAGCAGCCAAAAATCTCCCCCAGATTGAACCATTCATCAACGGAGGTCACAACTTCACGCTGCGATGACGGCTTTGCTGAATCTGAAGCCTTTGCTTCTTCCTTCGAAGCAGGCAGGCTGACTTGCTCGGATTCCCACCTCACAACATAATCTTGTCAATGCGCATGTGCAGCGTTATGAGCATACCATTTAAGCAAACACACACAATAATATGTCTACATGCATCAGATGAGTATGTACACTATATATGTGTACACATATACCCACATGCACACACACATACACACATACATACATACGTACATCCATCCATCCATCCATCCATCCATCCATCCATACATACATACATACATACATACATGCAGACAGACACACATGCATACATGCATGCATGCATGCATGCATGCATCCATCCATACATATGTGCATACATACACACATGCTTAGCAAATGCACTCGACCAGGTCAGGCGAGGTTTGACAAACGCATCAGATACTAAAAGATAGTAAAATCATATATGATGTCATGCCACAAAATATTTTTATTGTAGCATATTGTATTCGATTATGTTGTGTTACCTTGTGTCACATCATTCTGGGTTGTAACAGAACATATTATATACACACACGTGTAAATGTACATGTCCATATACATACACATACACATACACATAGAGCCACACACACACACATGCATAGGCTTATGCACGACATGCGCACATACATACATACATACATACATACACACATACATACATACATGCATACATACATGCATACATGCATACATACATAAGTACGTACGTACGTACATACATACATACATACATGTGTACGTACATACATACATACGTACATACATACCTACGTACATACATACATATATACATGCATATACACCTTCATACATACATACATACATACATGCATACATACATAATATCATTACATATGCTACATACATTACGTACATGACATACGCTACACACATAGCATACGTTACACACATAACAAACAAACGAACAAACAAACATACATGCATACATACATACATACATACGCACATACACACATACATACCTACTAATACATACGTACATACATACAGACATACTTACATACTTACATACATACATACATACACACACACACACGCAAGCAAGCTAGCACGCAAGCAAGCAAGCAAGCAAGCAAGCAAGCAAGCACACTAACAGACAAACAGACAAACAAGCAAACTAACACAGAAGCAATGACGGAATTAGCAACTACGTCAACCTAGTATGTATATGCATACATGTGTGCGCACATTGCGACATACGCACACACACACACACCAAAAAATAAAATCATGTAGATCAGTTAAAGCTGCACTATTGCAGCCTACGGCGGATCACCTAGGGCCTAAACCCTAAACCCTAAACTTCCAACGTTTAAAGCGATCTAAGCCACAGGGTGAAGGTCGTGGGCTCAAAGGCTTCTGGCATCTGCTCCACCGGAAAGCTCGCCGACCCATCCTGGCCCCTTTCCGAAACCCTGAAGCCTACCCACAGGCCCCTAAGTAGTTCCTTTTTGGGATTACCTTATAGGATGTAAAATATATAACATCCAAAAAGGAACTACGTAGAGGCCTATGGGTAAACCCTAAATGGATCCGGTTCCGACTCGCTCAAGGAGCTGGTTTAGGGTTTAGGTGTTTACGTTACGAGAGCAAGAAACCTCAACCACCAAGAGAAAAGAATTTCTAAGGTAGGCCCAGCTTCCGGCATGCCAGTCGAAGCCGACTCCAAATGGTCCTCCCAACTCCACGAAACTCTTGCTCAGCGGGCTACTGATTTGCGGTAAAGGCGCTTATGAAGTTGCTTGCAAAGATTAGGGGTTAGCGCTATACATAGGGTAGTGGCATTTTGGCATTGTGAGATATGCCCGCCGCGGTAGTCATTAGCCACTCTTCTGGCAGCGGCCGCAGCCCGAACGGCCCTAACAGTCCTGGTCGTGAAGGGGCTTCTGAGAGGAATGATGCGCCTCATGGGCGCGAAGGCTGGCCAAGGTTGGAGCCAGGTAGTCTCCACGTCCGGAGTCCATCGCATCCTGGTCAACGAGACTCAGGCAGTGACGGACATCAAGGGAAGGGGAGAATGGCACATGGCATGTTGATAGACCAACTAACCAGAGTTAGCGAAGTCATGGCAGCCGTGGCAGTAGTAGCAGTTGGTAGAGGAGAAGGCCATCATTGTTCGGGGAGCGTCTCACTGAGCCTCCCTCCCTCCTCGGCCTCTGTCTCTCCCTCTCCCTTTGCCTCTTTCAGCCCTCTTGCGCCTTCGATGCCGCAGCTGTTGTGAGCGAATACATGGATGGAGCACAAAATTTGTCAATCCCGATGCGGGTTATATGCCTTGCAAGGAGGCTTGAGCCAGAACCACACGGTGGGACTTGCGCGTTGCGGCATGTTGGATGTAAAAACACCCCAGCAACCTCGACCAAAAGACTGGCAGGGCACAATTCAAGCTTGAGACTCTCTGGTAAACTTAAGTGCAAGCCCTAAAGGGCCTTAAACCGTACAGGCGATATCGTTAATCCCGCCGCCCCGTTCTGTCAGCCTTGACCCGAATTCCTCAGACGCTGTGGCCTGAGCGGTCATGAGCTGACAAAACCCCTAAACCCCAAACCCCTAAACCCTAAACACATTCTAGCCCCCAAACCCTAAACCCCTGAACCCCAAACCCCTCAACCCCTATAAACCCTAACCCAAGCCTGATGGGGACTTGATCTCGCCCATCTTGAAGCGGTTGATCAAGCTCATGACCTCAGAGCCAGGCCTTCTAATGTCCTTTAATTCATACGAGTTATGATTAGGGGGACCCTTGGGGATATAGACCCTCTCAATAATGAGGTCCCTTTTAAGAGAGCCCACAAGTAGGGTTAAGAAGGGTCCCCTCTAAGGGGTCTCCCTAATACTACCTAGGAATTAAGGAATATCGTAAATTAGATCGTATTACATATATTTGTTAATAATAACAGTATAGTAGTCTTAGAGTCTTCATATACTATCATTCTGATACATATGCCTTTCAATAACAAATTCCAAGATCCTCTAATTAAGGACCAAACCTCAAAATTGTGATAGGACCCCCTCAATACGATTTAAGGTATAACTCCTGATTTAAAGGATATTGGAAGGTCTGGGTGTTTTTTTCCCTCTCGCATAGCTAAGGGTCAAAGCCCACAAGCGAGGTTTGGGTGTTTAGGGTTGCGGGTTGAGGACTTCGGAGTTCGTTGGGGTGGAAAACTTCGACGCTCACACTCGGACAATCCAGGCAAGGCAGCTGGTCTCAGGTCGGCTGATGATGTGTTGAACGGTTTAGGGTTTAGGTTTTAGGGTTTAGGTTTTCGGGTTTAGGGTGAAGGTTTAGGGTTCAGGGACATGCGAGCGCTGAAGAGAACCACTCGTAATGACCACGCCGTGGCGCCAACACCCCGCCCTAGACCCCAAACCTCCACCAAGCCAAAATAAAGCACGTAAACCCTATAGACTCTAGACCTCTAGCACACTGAAAAGACTCAACCCGAAACCCTAAACTCCAAACCTCTAAGATGCCCTAGAGAATCCCAGTGTGTAAGGCTCTGGAGCCCCTTTTGCAGGATCCAAGGATCCACGGTCTAGTTTTCCGAATCTATGTCCTACGGCTCTAGATCAGGGTTTGGGGTTTAGGTGTTTTGGGTTGTTAGGGGTTTAGGGTTTATCGGTTTTGGGGTCTAGGGTTTAGGGGTTTACGGTTCAAGGTTTTCGGCATGGAAGACTTTATGCTCTCGCAACTCGGACCTTCAAAGGTTTGAGGTTTGGGGTTTTCCGGACTCAGGTTTTTGGGGGTTCATGCTTATCCTCCTGAAAAAGAGTTTCCTTCATGGCTCATATTACTTGGGAGACGAAAGACCACGTGCAGACCCACCAAATCTACAGTGAACCCGCTTCTCAACTTCTGCCGATAAAGGGGCCTGGATACTTAGAACAGGGTTTTGGGGGTACGTTGAGTAATGTAGCATATGCGATAATGTGCCGGAACAAGTAATAGTGTTGGTAAGTATTCCGGCATCTGAAGTACTTGCTATTTGAGGCCCCTGCTGCGGCGGAGCAGTTGGCAATAAGCTCGCACTCCACCTTGGTTAGCTGGGGTATAGTGTTTAGGCTCTGGGATTAGGATGGTTGAGGGCGTTTAGGTTGAGGATGTTGCTTGATCGCTTGTACTTCACGGCTCGATCCTTCGATTCTGACAGTAAAGAGCATGCGGCATGCGGAACAACAGCACCGATCACCCAGAACAACATTCACGACGAGCCCTGAACCCCAAGTAACTAAGGCTTAAGAGCACGTTGGACTCGGCGCTGCGGTTTAGGGTTCAGGGTTCAGGGGGTTAGGAGTTGTTGTTCATCAACTTACTCATGTAAGGTACCTACATAATATTGGTACGTATGCAACCGACAACAACAAGGTCCGCAAAAACCCTTTCTTGAGGAGGGGCTGCAGTACACAACAAGGCCAAAAACCCCTCAACCCGATGCTAGCCCAAACGCAGGACAGTCGAAATGTCACCCAAATGCCTGAAGCTTCAAGATACACAGCATATCAGCCGCAACCAAAACTCACAAGACAGAGTCATGCCGAAGCCCGACCTTCATCCAAAACCCGGGCTCAAACAACCCGAAACCTACCAAACGAAAAATCAGACTTTCGGGGATCAGATCCCTACAATCTGCCAAGCTCATACTTACCCCAAAACCCTATAAACCCTAAACCGACCCTTGGCTGAGGCTTCGACAATGTCTAGCAACTTCGAAGCCTGCCCAGAGCCGCATAGAGGGGGGGGGAGGGGTCGGGTTGCGCAAACGCCCTCTAAACCCATACTGCAATTACAGTAGAAGCCCAAAAGTTGGAAACTTACTAGCCTCAATGCCTAAGAGTAATCCACAGGGACTCCCAGTGCTAATTGACAACTTGTCCTTAATTAATCCGGTTTCCAACTTTTTCTGGGAGGGGGGGGGTTTACTATACTATCTGTTATATCATCCCTTCGGGTTGTAATGCAACAAAAACAAGAAACGATTCCTAAGAGCGGAGTTTGGAACCTCGGACACTGGATTCGGGTTGTGGCTTCGGCTGAGAGTTTAGATGTGGTTCATCCAGGGGTGGGGGGGTTCGGGGTTTGGGCAAACCAACCACCTGCTGCGATTCCCTTGTGAGGCTGACGGCAGCGCTACTTGTAAACTGTATCTGCGACTAAGGTTCATGAAAATGTGGTTTGAGGCTCAACACGTGGGCAGTGTAAATTGTACCCGGAACGATTGCGAGGCTTAGGGAAGGCGGCAAGTCGCAGGCCATAACAGTCGACCGCCATGAACCGGATTGATGGGTGATGCCGTACAAACTACGAAGAAAAGGCTTGCAATGAAGTGCTGGTCGGCATTAAGCTCTCTGGACACGCTTAGAAAGTGAGCGCCCTGTTGCTACAAACTCTGCTGAAGCTCTTAGCCACGAGCAAGAGTTCAATACCAGGTTGGGTTGGGCTGCTTAGGCTACTTCTTGAAATTGGAGTACGATATGCCCCAAGACCTAATTCCATTTGTTAAGACCCGCTTTGCTCCCAGGTCCGCGTTTGAAGATGTAGCTTGGGCTCTTAGATTCGACGCCCCATCTCTCGGACTCGGAGATGGACTCAGTACAAGGGGACAGCGGTTCAGAGTTTGGGGTTTATGAACGGTTTATGGCATGTCACTTCACTCCCATTAACACAGCTAGAGTCCATCCTGAACCCAAAACCCAAAACCCTCCCGGACATAGAGCGTCGAAGCTCAGCAGCACTGCCCAAGACGATATCCTACTCCCGGGGGCCTTAACAATCAGCGATTTGGGAGTAGCTATAATATATCATTGCTCCAGTACTACTACAAGGGGATATTATTGCGAAGTACTCTGGCCACTGTATGTCCCGTGAAGTGAAGCTTCTGACGCAGATTCAAGTGGTCTCCGTCATGTGCTTCGAGCGCTGCAAGCTACTTCAAGAGTGAGGATACAAGTGCCGTACTTGGGAGTTACACTAAGTGCTCATGACTTTGGTAGGACCTACAAGTAAGTCACATAAACCCTGAACACCACTGCTCCAACCCATTGTCATTCTCCCTCACCCACCCACCCAATCCGAAATCATCGGACGTCTGAAACCCCAGGCATTCCTCACCCCTCCAGCAAGATATATGAAGCCGCTTTGAAAGGTCTGACTTTTCAGGATCTGTGTAGCGGTAAGGTAGTGGTCCAACTATACCTTAATTGTCGTTTACTCACCCCCCCAATAGCAACCTATGAGTACTGCGGCCCCAAACCACAACACGTCGTTGCTAGGTGTTTTGGACCCTGAGGGTCGCATTACCATATCACCCTTCCCTAGCAACATATTCCAAGTAATTTCATAACACCTATCTGACGTACCGAAAAGAAGCTTGGTCGAAAGACGCCCTGCAACACCTGACCGCCTCACCAAAGCACTGTTACATATGTATGATGGGGCCTCGAATAATTGGAGCAGGCCTTTGGGTCATATTCTCATACTACAATTGTATCAAGGAGGCCCAAGAAAATAGTATTCTACCTGGTATCTATCTATCTATCTATCTAGCTCTCTACCTATCTATGTATCTATCTATCTATCTATCTATCTATCTATCTATATATAATCAATATATTTGTATAGATACATCGATCGATAGATAAGTAGATATAGATATAGGTATAGAGATAGATATAGATATAGATATTCGGTATATGTCCCGACAAGCCCGATTCTATCCGCGCGCCTGTAGCTCTGGCCGCATGCTTGCACCAAGCTTCCTCTCGGCGGCCTTTTGCAGAGAAAGGGTTTGGGGTTAGGCGGCTTTGGTGTTTAGGGCTTAGGGCTTAGGGTTTAAGGTTTATAGGTGTTTAGGGCTTAGGGCTTAGGGTTTAAGGTTTAGGTGTTTAGGGCTTAGGGTTTAGGGTTTATAAGGTTTAGGGTTTAGGTGTTTAGGGCTTATTTACTGACGTCCTTGCGAAACGGTATTTTGGCTCCATCTCTAGAACACACCCCTGCTTCAGCATGGGCCTGGATTGTGTTCCAGCGAACACTCCTCAACAGCAGGGCCAGAACACACCCCCCAAAACCCTAAACCCTATAAAGCCTGACCTTCAACAAGCATGTTCAAGATTGGTCAAGCTCGTGTTCTTTTCGGCGTGGGGCTTCAGATTTGGCGTCTAACGCCTGTTGAATGGTATTGCGGTTGATTGAGGGCTGAATTACCATGTTTCGGCAGGAAAGACTTCCACA